ATATTTAATTAATAGATTCAGATCTATCCTAGATTTTTCATATGAGGCAAACTCAGATTAATATTTCAATATTTTGTCATTTCAAAATACCTAGATATTTAATGTTTTATTATTTAATTCAGCAAACTCTAAAGCTTTAAGTTGCCTAGGACTCTGGAAAACCATGTTTCTGGCTGGCAAAAGGCAAGCTTGAAGCTATTTAAATGTACAGTCGCCATATTCTTTTTTTAGAGGTTGCTGCTGCGGAACCAGCCCCCTCCTTCAACAAGGAGCAAACCCCCACTATCAATATACCTATAATTATAACTGAAAAGCTTCACTACAGATCCTTTATCTTAGTTATATTTATTTATCCATGTTTTAATAATTTTGAGATTTTAAAGCCAATTATTATTATTTAAGGCATTTTCTTTGGCAAATTCTGTAACAGAGATAACTGACTGACTTTCAATGGCCTTAAGGTTAACTTTGGAATGTGGTCCATTATTATTCAAAAACTGCCCTCTATTAATGGAAATACCAATCTTATTGCCCAAACTCAGCCTGTATTTTTTCTTTTGGGTCATTTTTGCCATCTTTCTTCTTTTGAGAAAAACAGTCTTAGGTTTATTCTAGATCATCCTTAAAGAGATTGAGCTCAGTTAAAAGTTATCCAAAATCGGACAGTGCACGCGTTTTCTCTTAAACCAGCCTTTTTCTCTCCACGAGTACAGAAATCCCAGACATCTCCCTTGAATTCTGCAAAATTTTAAATGACGGACCGGGAGATAAAAAACATGGCGAGAATGAGACTTTTTAATAGCACTCTCGGGAGTGGGCGTCCATTTTACAGTATCACCACATGTATCCCCACCCCCACATCCTGCTTGCATTGGGGAAATTCAGTAAATGACCTGGCCACATGCTGTTTCTTTCCTTATTAAATTAAAGGCATGCTAATAAACTAACAATAAACACATTAAACTAAACAAAAATGACAGATCAACAAACATTTAGACAAGACTTAATAATCACAGTTCTTTTCCTGGAAATTTCTCTTAATAGTATTGACTACTCTTTTAAAATTATTTTAGCTAAACTCTGCCTGTCCCAAGGCATCATATGCTAATTTTCAAACAAAGCATCAGAGTCCCCTGGTGAGAGGGTTAATAGCTCTATCCTCTCTAGCTTCCTTTGAACCTCTCGACACCAGAAGCAGAGAATCTGGCGGGGCTTTTTCACTTATTACAGACTTTTGATCCCTAATACAAATTGGATGTTTAGCGATTTGAATAAGAACCCACATAATTGCTGGCTGGTTTGGCTCAATGGATAGAGCATCGGCCTTCGGACTGAAGGGTCCCAGGTTCGATTCCCGGCCAGAGTACATGCCCTGGTTGCGGGCTCAATCCCCAGGTGGGGGCCTGCAGGAGGCAGCTGATCAATTATTCTCTCTCATCATTGATGTTTCTATCTCTCCCTCTCACTTCCTCTCTGAAAGCAATAAAAAAAACACACCCACATAATTAAATATGACAACGGCCCTCTTTTTCCTTGAGCCTGATTTATTGCACTTTTGACATTTTAATTTCTTTATTGTTATGCCCAGATTTCAAGATCCCCAATAGACCACACCAGGGAGCCAGCCGAGTCCGATGCAAAAGCAGAGAGTCTTTTATTCAAACCCGGGTTTGGCTCCCCTACCCTCTTTACCGACGCAGCGGCAAGTGGTAAAAAGAGAGGGCCAGCACTGTGGGGAGAGAGGTTTTATAGTAAGGGAAGGAGAGAGGACTGTGGGCCAGGCGCAAGTCGGTATCTCGTTACACAGGATGTGGTCATATATATGGCGCGCACTTCCCTTGATTGTCATTGGTTAGTTTAAAGAAGTCCTGGGTTTGGCTAGCAGAGGCTTGGGCTTCCGGGAAGAAGCCTTGCCAAACACATGGCTGCCCAAAGATGGAGGATACAGGGCAAGATGGAGACGTAGTCCTCGCCCTTTCACTTATAATTTTGCCTTTTAATCAAATCCTTCCCCATTATGGCCTGGCTTGAAAAAGATGTCCTCGCCCTCTTTTGGATCGCGACTTCCAAAGCTAGCACAAGCTTTACGTGCAGTGAATCTCCCCACCGAATTTTCAGTGATCCCCACCTTTACCGGTGGTCCTCTTCGCTCAGGTGAATGATCTTCTCCAGATGTCCCTCGGTGAGGCGCCATAAATGCCTTGGTTTTTTCACAGCTAGGGTTCAGGAATCTGGAGAAGGGCTGCCACATAAATGAATAGAGACTAGACAAGAAGTATAAATTTGGAAGGCATTTTTGGGGAGCCAAACTGAAATCAGCTCTCTAGTGGAGTGGCTCCCGAATGTCCAGACCTACAGCTTTTTATTCACACATTTTGCCCTTTAGCAAAGCAGATCTACATATCAAAGGTAAGGTTTGCTAAACAATAAAGGATTATTAGGTTAGGGCAGTGGTTGGCAAACTGCAGCTCGTGAGCCACATGCGGCTCTTTGGCCCCTTGAGTGTGGCTCTTCCTAAGCCTTAGAAGTACCCTAATTAAGTTAATAACAATGTACCTACCTGTATAGTTTAAGTTTTAAAAATTTGGCTCTCAAAAGAAATTTCAGTCGTTGTACTGTTGATATTTGGCTCTGTTGACTAATGAGTTTGCCGACCACTGGGTTAGGGGAATTGCCCTCAGCTGTTTCACAGCAGCTAATAATATGCACGTCTTCAGCCCTGCTGAAGATGTCCATCAGCCTTCTGATAAACTTCTTGCATTTATTATGCTAACTACTGTTCTTAGCCTCCAGCAAAATAGTACCTAAATCCTAGACCACTTTCTGATTATTTCCTTCCCATAAATTCTGAAGAGGATTGGTACACTTTGAAACTTTGACACCTATCACCAACTTGCCTTCTAGGGTATATGGGAACAATTCTATGAAATAATTTAAAAATTATACTCACACCTATTAGGTATGCCAAGATAACCTAATTTTTGAGAAATTAGAGGCCTAAGTGAAAATGTTTTAAAAAGCAAAAATTTACAACAAATTAGTTGTTTAAAAATTTAGCTACATGAAATGATATGTTCATTACAGGCATCTCCCTCATTTTATTGCACTTTACTTAATTGCACTCTGCAGATTATTACTTTATTTTACAAATGGAAATATTGTAGCCACCTTGCATCAAGCAAATTGACTGGCATTTTCAAACAGCATTTGCTCACTTCATCTATGTCTGATATATTTTGGTAGTTCTCACAATATTTCAAAATCTTTCATTATTATATTTGTTATGGTTATCTGTGATCAGTGATCTTTGATGCTGTTATTGGTCATTGTTTTGGGCTGCCATGAACTGTGTCTGTATAAGACTGCAAACTTAAAAAAATGTGTGTGTTCTTACTGTCCTACCTATTGGGTTATTCCCCCATATCTCTATCTCTCTATCTCTCTCTCTCTCTCTCTCTCTCTCTCTCTCTCTCTCTCTCTTTCTCTCTCTCTCTTCCGGCCTCTCTATTCTCTGATACAGCAATATTGAAATTAGGCCAATGGATAACCTACAGTGGTCTCTAAATGTTCCAAGTGAAAGGAAGAATCATAGGCCTCTCACTTTAAATCAAAAGCTAAAAATGGGCCCTAACCGGTTTGGCTCAGTGGATAGAGCGTCGGCCTGCAGACTGAAGGGTCCCGGGTTCGATTCCGGTCAAGGGCATGTACCTTGGTTGCGGGCACATCCCCAGTAGGGGGGTGTGCAGGAGGCAGCTGATCGATGTTTCTCTCTCATCAATGTTTCTAACTCTTTATTCCTTCTCCTTTCTCTCTGTAAAAAATCAATAAAATATATTTTTAAAAAATGATTAAGCTTAGTGAGGAAGGCATATTGAAAGCCAAGACAGGCTAAAAGCTAGGTTCTTATGCCCAACAGCCAAGTTGTGGTGCAAATCGCAAGAGAATACGAAGTAAAAGTGAAGCCTGAACATGCCACTGTATTACTGCAGTCTCATTTCATGAATGGGGGAATTGCTTTTATGGATGAGCAAAGAAAGTGGTTTCTTGCGATGGAATCTACTCTGGGTGAAAATGCTTTGAAGATTGTTGAGATGACAACAAAGGATTTAGGATACTATATAAACATGTATAATACTAGGGCCCCCCCCCCAGTGCATGAGTTCGTGCACCTTGAAATAAACTGTGGGCCTCGAGGCTGCGGTGGGCACAGGGGCAGGTCTTGGCCCATCTTCCATACCCCTGCCCGGCCCCTTCTGCTGCGGCCCCCAGCCCCCTGTCTGCCGGCAGCCCTGTTCCCATGTGCTGACGGCACAGAAAAATTGGGGCTGGTGCCAGCAGCGGGTGCAAGCAGGGCTAGCGCTGTCAGCAGGTGCGAGTGGCAACTGCTGCCTGATCGCCCCTCAGGAGCAGGGGGAGGTAGAGAAGCCCGCAGGGGCAATCGGGGCTGGCAGCCGCCTCTTGCACCTGCTGATGTCATGGAGTTATCGGGACCAGTGCCAGGCACCAGTAGCAGGTGTGAGCGGTGGTGCGAGCGGGGCCAGCGCCGCGAGCGGGTGCAAGTGCCAGGCAGGACCGCAGCGCAGGAGCAAAGAATTTCAGTAACCACCAGAGGCTCTCCCCAATGACAGTGACCAGCATCCTACCTTGGTCTGGTACCCCTGCTCACCTCCACCATCCCCCCACGGCCCGGCCGCTGCCCGCCATGTTTCACACATGCCCCCTGGTGGTCAGTGCACATCATAGCAACCAGTTGTTTGTTTGTTCTGCAGTTTGGTCTACTTGCATATTAGCTTTTTATTATATAGGATTTATTAATTTATGGTTTATATATACTAATAGTTGATAAACCAGCACCAGGGTTTGAGAGGACTTACTCCAATTTTTTAAAAATTTCTACTGTAGGTAAAATGCTTTCAAATAGCATTGCATGCTACAGAGAAATTGTTCATGAAAGGAAGAGTTAATCGATGTGGCAAACTTCATTACTATCTCATTTTAAGAAATTTCCAGTCACCCCTACCTTCAGCAACTACCACCCTGAGCAGCCATCAGCATCAAAGCAAGACTACCAACAAAAAGATTACAACTCACTGAAGGCTCAGATGATGGTTAGCATGTTTTAGCAGTTAAATGTTTTTTAGTTAAAGAATACATTGCTTTTTAGACATAATGCTGTTGCATACTTAATAGACAACAGCATTGTATAAATATAACTTTTATATGCACTGGGAAGTAAAAAAATTTGTGTGAGTGTGACTCGTTTTATTGCCATATTCACTTTGTTGTAGTGATCTAGAACCGAACCCACAATATCTCTTGAGGTACGCCTGTATACTTTCGCTCATTTTTATAGAATAATCTGAATTAAGAAAAGCTCAAAAACTTGATTACTTATTGAATAAGGAAGGTAACTTCACACTCCACACATTTATATGTGCAATATATGTCCTCATTTTTTGTTTCTACCTTCCATTTCTAAAATGGTTTCACCTAGGGCTGCCATATCAAATTGATTGTGTGACTTAAACAACAAATTTTTTTCCTCAAAGTTAGGGAAGCTAGAGATTCAGGATCAAAGGGTTGGCAGGTTTGATTTCTCCTGAGGCAGGTTTGATTTTTCCTGAGGCCACCCTCTGGCTTGCAGATGCCACCTTCTTGGTCTGTCTGCACATGGCCTTTTTCTCTGTGGTGTACCCCTGGTGTTTCCCCCTCTTCTGTAAGGGCCCACTCATATGATCTCATTTAAACTTCATTACCTCTTTAAAGACACTATCTCCACATACAGTCACTTTCTGAACTGTACTGAGAGTTAGGACTTAAGCATAGGAATTTAGGGAAGGGAGAGGGACACAATTCAGTCCATGACATTTAGATAACTTTTAGCAGTAGTGTGTCTGCTAATTGTTTGGAGAGAAGTTTTTTAGTAATTTATTTATTTATTTATTTATTTTTCAGGGAGAATCTTCTAATGGCTTAAATGATAGAGGAATGAAATCACTAGTAAATAAAATGACTATTGCTTTGAAGACAAAATCCGTTAATGTCAGGGAAAAAGTTATCAGTTTTATTGAGAATACATCAGCTCCTGTGGATCGGTGAGTTGCTTATACAGCATGAGTTTATGATGAGTAATTAAAACTAAAAAGTATCTTACAGTAAATATTAGTTGACTCGAATGTGTTCTAGAAAAGGATCATAAAGTACATTTGTTAAGTATATGGTTTTAGTTTCCATTATAATTATAAGATGTTCTATATTGCTGTAAAATTTGTCTACAGATTACTTTTTTTTCTCTCCTACTGCTGAGAATAAGGTGCAAGTAATGATTCTGCCCCTTCATGCCATTTTTAAAAAATATATTCAAATGTCATTTTATGTTTTACTCTTCATATGGTAGCTGCTTCCCACATGGCAAATGTATGAGAATCAACTACCAAATGGAGTAATCTCTGCAGGAGCCTCTTCCTCTGCTTTTGGAATTTAAAACCTAGAAAATCTGATGCTAAATAAAGCAGAAATACATTTTCTGAAGTTCAATAGTTCAGATCTTCATAGAATTTTGTTCACAGAATATAAGAGACCCTTAGCTTCCCATGACTTACAAATGAAGGACATAGCCAACAAATAATAAGCAAATTTATCTGTTATATTGTTTCTTACTGGAATTGTGAGTACACAATATATTTTTGTCCACACATTGATCTTTCTTGTTCCTAGAGTTCAAGCTAACCTATTAATTCAGTGCAGAATTTGTTTCTAAGCAAGCTTGATCTTGGCAGTGTGTTACAGTATTTAACTTCACTCATGTTTTACTTGCAGTGTCCTAGGAAAGTTGAAAGTTAACTTTAAGAACTAAATGTCAGGAATTTACTATTTGTCACTTTTTTAAGTACATATACATACAAAAATATATGTTTTCCCATCCAGTAAATAGTAAAGAAGAAAATAGGTTGTTTTCACTAATCCAAAAAAATGTATCTTGTCTAAAATGGTCAACTGGTAAGTAATGTTAAAGTGTTTTACCACAAAATATTTCTTTTGCTCATTAAATTATATGTCTGCTCTTAAAAGCCTTTAACATTTTTACTTTTAATTAGTGCATTTTGAATTACAGTACTACTATTGCTACATTTTATAGCCTGAAAATTAAATATTTTTATTTTAAAATTCATTAATTTTATTTTAAAATGAACTAGTGATAACTTTAAATGAAAAGACTTTGTTAAGGAGTCACTTGAGAAAGGCTTTTAAAATTTTTCTTTGTGCTTTGGATGATTGAAACATCTTTATAATGTACACTCTGGGTTAGAAAAACTGATTGTGCTATATTTTTGTTTTAAAACTGTTGTGGTTTTATAATCATTTTGTTCTGTCCTCTGCCTCAATTTGCTGTAGAATGTCTTTCAATCTTCCTTGGCCAGACAGAACATGTACAGAGCGGTAAGCCAATGAGTAGAGCAGCTTTGTTGGGCCATCCTTTCCTTTAGCATGCTTCATGCTGTCTATAAGCCTCACGCTGTCTTGGCTAAAATTTCATGTAGCTGTTTCAAATGCTAAACTTTTCTCATTCTGCTTTTAGGAGTACATGTGATGCTGATCTCTTTTTGGTTTTTGCTTTGATCATTAAAAAATTTTTTTCTTGCATGCTTCCTTGTATCTCCCATTCCTCAAATGAAAAGCAAGTGCATTTGAATCCAAGAACTTCATAAACCTGCAGCTTTTATTCTGAGACAGAGGGAGGTAAAACAAAGAAAATAAGTAGTTTCAGAGTTGACAGGCTATTTAGCTTTGGAGATCATTTACTTCTGTGTCCTGCCCTAATGGTAGAGAAAATTATAGTACCTGGGGAAAAAAGCACAATTCATGGTTCAAAATTTTGGATAATTCATGTTCATTATGTCATCTGTAATAATAAAAGCATAATATGCAAATTGACAGAACAGTGGAATGACTGTCCAGACAACCTTTTGGATGAAGCCGGGACTGCAAAGGCCTACTCTTGCACAAATTTCATGCATAGGGCCTCTAGTTTTATGATATTTTAGATTTTTCTTAATAAAGTGTATGTATTTAGGTTCATGAGTTAACATATAAATTGGTTCCAAAGAACCACAGTTCTGGAGTCCTGCCTTTGGTTTTCATTGAAAGAAATTGTCATGATGGACATATCAATGTATTACCCATCTCTTCTCTGCCTCATTGAGATGGGCTGTTTGTCATTAGATCCCATAAATTTGAAAGGATCTTCAATTAGAATGAACAAAAGAATTTTACTTACTTAATAATTGTATATGGCTTAACAGTTTTTATACTCATAGAATTTTTCTGCAATTTAAATTAGAATATCAATTATAGCAATACCTATGAACATTTTAAAAGAAAATCTTGTCATACTTTGAATGTAAGTTAAGCTTTAGAATAATGGACTTGACTTTTTCTCAGGTCATTTCAATATTCCCAGTGACTAGAAATATAATTTTTAAAAACAATAGTTTACTCTCAACTTACTGATAAGGGTTTTTATTTGCTATGACTGTTCGTATAGAGAACCCATTACAAGGGCTTCTATTATAATTTTATCTAAGACTATTTTAAAGGAAATTGCATCTTTTAAAATTACAATGTTTGTGAATTACCATTCTATTTTCTCTTATTATACAACCATTGAATTCATCTGATTTTATTTAACTCCCAAGTTTTCTCCCAGATTCTTAATTTAAAAAAAAAATTAAATTATCTTCTCTGGTCCAAAGGCAGATATACCTATTTTGAAAGTAAAATTCTTCTAAATGTTGGAATGAAATGTTAGCTTCTTCTGAGCTTAGCAAATTAAGTAAAAACCTTGTCAAACTATTTTGTAGATGCTTCTGTTATTATTTTTACTAAGAAAGAATAGATATGCTGCTTTACAAAAGAAGTCCATCCATTGAATTTTATTAATTTTTAGCCAGTCTTTTAAGAACCATCTCAGTAATCTTTAGCAATCTTCTTATAAAAACTCCATTGTATTTTTTTTTTCTATTTGTCTCTTCAGATACTTGGTTTCTGATTCAAGCATTCACTATAAACATTACCTTTATTACTTTCTATGTTGTAGCAAGCAGTTTATGCTTTAATATCAGGAGAGAAGCAATAATTTAAATCTCATATAATTTTATAATCTAGACTAGAGGCCCAGTGCACAGGATTCGTGCACTGGTGTGGGGTGTGGCCTGTGGGGATTGGCCTGCTCATTCTGGTGAGCGGAGCGACTGTGGACCCACCCCCTGAGTGGCTGCTCCTGCTGCAAGAGCAGCTGCTCATCCCAGTCAGCCCAAGCGGTGCTCCCACTGTGGGAGCGCACTGACCACCAGGGGGCACCTCCTGCATTGAGCGTCTGCCCCCTGGTGGTCAGTGCGCATCATAGCGACTGGTCTACCGGTCATTCTGCTCATTCCACTGTTTGGTTGCTGAGCTTTTATTAGATAGGATGGCACTAAAGTATTCTTAGATAAAGCTATATTATCTTTATCTTTGCCTTTTGTAAGAAAGCTGAATCTGAGGTTTTTGAATTTTTATCTAACGAGAATAGTTTGATAATTTATAGGATAATTTTACATTAGATTTATTTTAACATAAGCTCAAATTATTTTATGATTTTAATTTAACCAAAATGTAAGCTATGTAGTGATTAACCTAACTTATAATTCCCAAAGAATGTCTGGTTATACACTCAACTCAAATTGATTTTCTGTTGAGGAATGTTGTTTTGAAGAAGTAAAAATTTAAGCCTTTCAACAAAATTAGGTTGTGATAAGATTTTTATTGATGAAATGTATTAGAAAAGTATTTAAAATACATGTTTGATATCCATCTTGGGGAAAATTGAATTCTAAGGCTAAGTAAAGATAGTGTAACTTGATTTTTTCCCCACTTTGGACTCTCTTCATACTATATCCTACAAATAATAAAATGTTTATTCCCCAAAGTATTTTGTTAAAATTATCTGCAAAGTAATGAGGTTAAGTTTTTATGTTAAAAAAGAGGTTAATACTTCCTGCAGAACTAACCAATTTTGAGTTTACATGTTGTTAGGCTTCTTTCACTTGAATAAGAAAGACAGATTCATTTCATGGCTTACTTATGTTTATGTCTTAGAAGTAGAATCTTAGTTTCTATTAAAATTAAAGTAACAATAGTAAAAAATGGGAGGAAAAACCTTAAGACACTTGCACACCCCTATGAAAACTTTAAGCACTCCTAGAATTTGAATGTTTGGTTCCATAATCTATATTGTCTAACAAACATGTATGTTGCACTTGCTATATACCATGCATTGTCCTGAGAACTTTAAAAAATATTAACTGGCTTGCCCAGCCAGCATGGCTCAGTGGTTGAGTGTCAACCTATGAACCAGGAGGATATGGTTTGATTCCTGGTCAGGGCACATTTCTGGGTTGCGGGCTCAATCCCCAGTGTGGGGTGTACAGAAGGCAGCTGATCAATGATTCTCATCATTGATGTTTCTATCTCTCTCCCTCTCTGAAATCAGTGTGTAATTACACACACACAATATTAAATGGTTTAATTCTTATAACCATGAAGGGTAGATGTTATTTTACAGATGAGAAAACAGAATCACAGAGAGGTTTAGTAACTTCTCGAAGGCCACACAGATCTAAGCATTGTTTTCTTATCTTCACCCGAGAACATGCTTAGAGAGAGGGAGGGGGAGAGGAGAAATATCGATGTGAGAGAGAACATCAATTAGTTTCCTTACGTAAGTGCCACAACCCAGGTATGTGTTCTGACTGGGAATTGAGCCGGCAACCTTTCGGTGCATAGGACAATGCTCAGCCAACTGAGCCACTCTGGCTGGGCTAAGCCTTGGTTTATAATGAATATTAAAATTGCTTCAAATTTAATATTTACAGATTTGAAAACATTCAGCCACCAAGTCCTTTTTTGCTAACTTTTGCTAACATTTCCTTATCTTGTTTCAATTTCCTTAACATAGCTATCCTAAAACTGGGTTGTACGTGGGCAAAGAACATTTACATTTGTTTGAGTAGTCAAATGATACTTGGTTAAAGTCTTTAATAACTTATGTGATGATTCCCCCCCCCCCTAAAATTCTTTGAATATAGTCATGTGAGCAGCAGTGACAGAGTGGGCAAGCCTTACCGTGGTGTGAAACCTGTGTTCAGCATTGGGGATGAAGAAGAATACGACACAGGTGTAGTACTCCACTTACTTATAGACTTCTTTCCTCAGGCACCAGGAGTGATTATAAAGATTATTTTGGGAGTAGCAAACAACTGCTTTAAAAAAAAAAAAAGATACAGTGCCCAGCCGGTGTGGTTCAGTGGTTCAATTTGCAATCAGGGCACATGCCCAGGTTGCGGGCTCTATTCCCTGTTTGGCAGCCAATCAATGATTGTCTCTCATCATGGATGTTTCTCTCTCTCCCTCTCCTTTCCACTCTGAAATCAATAAAAATATATTAAAAAAGAAAAAAGACACAGATTCTGTAGAGGAAATTAAAGACTGGTTTTTTTTTATTAAGAGTTCATCTGAAACATCTGAGGTTCTGCCTATTAGAAATCCAAGGCGAAATGTTGCATAGCCAGTTGATTATAGGAGCCTTTAATTGAGGAGACAAGTCTAAGTTGGTGATAATTTCAGAATCATCAGTGTACAAATAGTATTTAAATCCATGGGATTGAATTTAAAACCCCTGATCCATCCACCTAGGAGATTGAGAGTTGTGGGACCAAAGTTCAGGGAATTCCAAAACAGTCATCTGAAGAACCTTTTGAAACTAGAGGCAATATTTTAAAGGGCCACAAGATGGGGATATTGTGTCAGGGAAATTTGTCATCCTCCATGTGGTTGGTTGTCTTTATATTTTAAAAAAGAATTTATTACTTTGGTTCATAATCCCACTGCCAGATTATGCTGGTTAAGTAATCATAATATTAATATGTATATTAAGTTAGAAAAAATAAAACAGTACATAAATGTACGAAATATGAAAAAACTCCCATATCTCACCTTGCCTTTTCCAGTTAGTAATACATGTTGCATATTTTCTATCTCAGCCCGTATACCTCTTCATTTATTTTTCTATCATGTGAACCTACCATAATTTATTTATTTTATCTTCTTCCATTGACATTTTAATTTTTATTTCTGTTTCAAATGACAACGCATTTTTTTAAAATATATTTTATTGACTTTTTACAGAGAGGAAGGGAGAGGGATAGAGAGTTATAGTAACATCGATAAGAGAGAAACACCGATCAGCTGCCTCCTGCACACCCCCTACTGGGGATGTGCCCACAACCAAGGTACATGCCCTTGACCGGAATCGAACCTGGGTCCCTTCAGTCTGACGCTCTATCCACTGAGCCAAACCAGTTAGGGCAACAACGGATGTTTTTATACATATATGAACATGAACTTTTGCAAGTACATCCAGATGGTAAATTCTTGGCAGTAAGATTGCTAGGTTACAGGGAATCACATTTGACATTTTAATCCATGTTATAAAATCACCTTCCAGAAAACTTGCATTGCAGTAAATGTAATTTTCTACCTCCTATTTCTAATTTGTTTCTTTTGCTCCTTTTCCCCCACCCTCTCTGTTGCCATCATCCTGTTATGTATCTTTCCCTGAATATCTCAACTCCTTCCATTAACAAATGAATGAATAAATTATGGTGTGTTTACATAAATCATACACACACATATTTACACTATGGAAAACTGCACAGTAATGAAAATGAGAAAACTAGAGCTATGTGTGTCAACATGGATACATTTTATAATGTTGGGAACGGGGTAGCCATTACAAAAGAATACAATTGAATAGTCCACTTGTATAAATTTTACTTAAAATACAAAATACTACTCTATATTATTTAGGGATATTTATACATAGTTAAACATTAACTATATGCAAATATAGTTAAAGTATGGAACTGGTAACACTAAACTTGATAGTCACTATTTCTTAGGAAGGAAGAGGAGTGTGATTGGGGAAGAGGAATGTAGATATATGAGATTTCCTTTTTTATTGTATCTTTACTAGAGGCCTGGTGCATGGATTCGTGCACCGGTGGGTCCCTTCACCTGGCTTGCACCCTCTCGCAACCCGGGATCCCTCGGGGGATGTCAGACTGCCAGTTTCAGCCTGATCCCCGCAGGCCAGACTGAGGGACCCCACAGGTGCATGAATCTGCACAGGACCTCTAGCATGCATATAAGATCTTTGGTTAACCTCATCACGCTCTCTCCCCTCCCCACTTCCTTCTGAGATTCATCAGCCTATTTCATGTTTCCATGCCTGTGCATTGAGCATCTGCCCCCTGGTGGTCAGTGCATGTCATAGCTACTGGTCAAATGGTCGATTAGGCTTTTAGAGATATAGATATTTTGAAATATTTATTAAAAAGCAAAGGGAAGAACATTTATAATTATTAATCCCAGGGACCATAATTTCTTTTTCTTAAATGAGAAGAACAAAATAATTAGGTTGTTTTCTATTTCTCTCATGAAAATAATATAGATTTTTACTTATCTATCCCAGGTTGGATTTGTTGTTTTTGTTTTCCTTAAAATCTGGAACCAGCAAGAGAAAAAGAACTCTGCTGTATTTGCCCTCAAAATAGGTGTTCATTGTTGGAAAATTCAGCCATCTCTCTACAGACTAGTCAGATTTCATAGTTATGCTATCTAAATAAAAATGTTTAAATTTCTTAGATAGTTTAATCTCAGTATTTTCACCTGACTTTTTCTTATCATATAGAGCAATTTTTCATAACATTATTTTTGTATTAGTATTTGTGGCATAAGGAAATATAGTAGCAGCATTAGAATTAAGTCCTAGCTGGTTTGGCACAGTGGATAGGCATTGGCCTGCGGACTGAAGGGTCCTGGGTTTGATTCTGACCAAGGGCACATGCCCAGGTTGTGGGCTCAATCCCTAGTAGGGGGCATGCAGGAGGCAGCCGATCAATGATCCTCTTTCATCATTGATGTTTCTATCTCTCCCTCCTCTTCTCTGAAATAAATAAAAATAAAAGAATTGACTAGTGTGTTTTTTTCAAAGTACTACTGAAATTGTTTTTCAAGCTGTTAAGAAATGTATCATTTTTGAAATTGGTAATGCCCACTTTTAATACTTTAAATTCTTTATAGATGAAATTGACAGTTCTTCCATGTCAGATGATGATAGAAAAGAGGTTGTAAACATTCAGACTTGGATAAACAAGCCAGACATCAAGCATCATTTTCCTTGTAAAGAAGTGAAAGAAAATGGACACATGTTTCCTAGGTACTTGTAAAAAATGTCTTCTTCAGAAGTACAATTGAATTTAGAGAAGTTAATAATATAAAACCAAACTACAAAAGAAATTTTATTTATCCAAATACAATAAGGTATAATTTCCCTCTGTTAATATGTGTCTCGAGTTTTAGAAAGATTTTTAATGTAATTTTTTATTTTGAAAAATTTAAACAAGAAATGTTAAAGAAACAGTACATTGAATACCTTTATAAACCTCTCTTAGATTCACCAGCTAACTTCTTTTCACACTCTCCCATCTCTATTTGAGTGTGTATATACATACACATATACACATGAATTTCCCTTTTATCAAGCCATTCAGAAGCAGCTTAAATATAACACTTAACCCTAAACACTTCAGCATAAATCTCCCAAGAAATCTCATAACTCAAATAGTATTATCACCTTTTAAAATCGTAAAAATTAACATGATTCAACATTCAGTCCATATACTTAAATTTTTCAGTGTCCCCAAAGTATCTTTTATAGTCTTTGTTTGTACTTCCTGATCCAGGATCCAGTCAGGGTTCACACACTGTATTTGCCTGTTATATCTATTTAGTCTCATCCAAAGTTCTACACCCCACACCCGTTTCTTCATGATTAATGAATCCTGTGAGTCTAGGTCTATTGTTCAGCTGAATATCTCACATTCTAGACTTTTCTGGTATTTTTCTTATTGTATTACCTAAAAGTGTATGAGTATTATCACTGTATTAAAGCTGATACACAGGGTGGGTGGTGTTAATAATTCTGTGCACATTTTGTCTTTAGGGTACAGTTACAGAATATTATAAAATATGTAAGGCAGCCCAACTATTGCTTAGTGGTCTTTGCTATTAGGCATATGCTATGATATGTTGAATGAGAATACTTTGTGAATATAGACAATACTGTTAAAAGTATGGAGGGTAGTATATTTTACATACCATATAGAATAGATTCTATAAATCTGTTATTTTAAATCTATTACTTTAATTGTATTGTACTTTTTATAAAATACTAGAGGCCCAGTGCACGAATTCATGCACGGGTGGGGTCCCTTGGCCTGGCCAACCATCAGGACCGTCTTGCCCAGTCCTGATTAGGGCAATCGGGGCCAGCTGGCCGGGGGGAGGGACCGCAGGAGGTTGGCTAGCCATGGGAGGTTGGCTGTGGGAGCACACTGACCATCAGGGAGCAGCTCCTGCATTGAGTGTCTGCCCCCTCGTGGTCAGTGTGTGTCATAGCGACCGGTCGTTAGGTCATTCAGTCACTTAGGCTTTTATATATATAGACTAGAGGCCTGGTGCACGAAACTCGTGCACTGGCAGGGGGGGGTCCCTTAGCCCGGCCTGCACCCAGTTCGGGACCCCTCGTTCCTTACTGCCTGCCTGCTCGCTGCTTCTTGCTCGACTCACTGCTCCTTAGCACTGCCGTGGAGGTGGGAGAGGCTCCCACCACCTCTGCTGCTCTCACCAGCCATGAGCCAGGCTTCTGGCTGAGCGAACTGACTACCAGGGGGCAGCTACAGCATTGAGCGTCTGCCCCCTGATGGTCAGTGTGCTTTATAGTGGCTGATCATTCTGGTCATTCTGCCATAACGGTTATTTAGGCTTTTATTATATAGATTATACCTTTGTTCTTAGACAGTGTTAGGTTTATCTGTTAATAAAACATAAGGGAAAACTAAAAGCTTTTATTAGGTAGCTTATCTATAATAAAAACATAATATGCTAATTAGACCGGACAGCTGAACAACCTTCTGGATGACCTTCCGGCTAAAGCCGGAGCTGCGAGGGCCAAGGCCCCTTGCACAAATTTTGTGCATCGGGCCTCTAGTCCTATATAATAAAAGCCTAATATGCTAAGTGTCTGGTCGTCCATTCAATGCTAAGTGTCTGGTCGTCCATTCAACCAATCAAAGCATAATATGCTAATGGATGCTAAGGCTGCTCAGCCGCTCGATATGTCCTTCACTGACCACCAGGGGGCAGACAGTCAACCAGTTGCTATGATGTGCACTGACCACCAGGAAGCAGACAGTCGACCGGTCAACCAGTCCCTATGATGTGCACTGACCACCAGGGGGCAGATGCTCTGACTCGTAGGTTAGCTTGCTGCTGGAGTCTGGCTGGTCGGGACCAAGCGAGACAGGCCAGATACGCCCTGGGGCCCTCCCACAGTCCATCCCCAGCTGGCCAACCTCCCACGTCCCTCCCCGAACCCGATCGTGCACCTTGGCCTGGCCTGCACCCTCTCGCAGTCCGGGATCCCTCGAGGGATGTAGGAGAGCCGGTTTCAGCTCAATCCTACAGGCCAGGCCGAGGGACCCCACAGGTGCACGAATTTGTGCACTGGGCCTCAAGTTTGTTTATAATGAACCTTTGTATTTTTAACTCAAAAGTAATTTCATTTGGAGTTGAACATTTTTTGTAATTGGGGCTATTGAAGTAATAACTATTTTAAATGACATTTTAAAAACATTCTTTTGTTTTTTAATGCTTTTTCTCTCAAGTCATCTGTTGGTTACTGCAACACATATGTACTGTTTAAGGGAGATTCTTTCACGGAAAGGATTGGCTTATATACAGTCTCGACAAGCACTAAATTCTGTGGTTAAAATTACATCCAAAAAGAAACACCCTGACCTAATTACCTTCAAGTATGGAAACAGCAGTGCTTCGGGAATAGAAATCTTGGCAATTGAAAGGTAAGATTTTCTTGGGATGATATTGTCTAAATTATTGAATTAGTTCATTATTAAACATGGTTTGTTTCTCTGTTTAGGGGAAGAGGTGGTGGAATAGGATACTTGAATCACTTTCATTAATATTCTTTGCTGTCTTTTTCTTCCAAATTCTTAGTCATCTGTGTTTTAGCCGTCAGCACATGATTTTAGTAAGTACCATAACTAATTAAACTTTTTGACAGAAGGGTCTTTAAGAATAACCTGTACCAGTGTTGCACTAAATGCTGGTTTGCAATCAAATAAGAAGTTTTTTCAGAATATAAGTCAATGCTTTTATTTTCTTTCATCAAATTCTTATTTTTTTTAAATGTCAGTGAACTAAGCAGTGTACTGAATGGTGTAGTTAATTTGCAATCTAGTATAAGCTGCTCCTTGTCTCATTATGAACCAGTGACAAAGACTTCATGGACTAGCACAGGGCCATATACCACACTGATCTTGATGCTAAACCATATTTAATCTTATAAATAACAATGTGAAGCCGAGAGGGATTAAATGACTTTCACATCTTCACACCTACCTTCTAACTCCTGATCTGCAGTTCATTCCACCTTGCTGTACACTATGAAAAATGACCTTGCTTTTGCATTTAGATTTTCTTTCAAATATGCTTTTGAGTATATGTTGAGTATATGTTAATATATAAGTTCTGGGGAGTACATAGGAGGACATTTCTGCTGGCTTTGTAAGTCAGAGAAAGCTTCCCACTGGAGGTGACATCTAAGCAGAGTTCTAAAGAAAAGTGCCGTATTAATATGTATATATTTTCCCCCCACAGGTATTTGATTCCAAATGCAGGAGATGCTACCAAAGCCATAAAACAACAGATCATGAAAGTGTTGGATGCTTTGGAAAGTTAATATAAAAGAAAAGTATTTCAAAAGAAATTAAGGCAACCAAGAGAAACATGGACATTTTCCTGACTGAATACTAACTGGAGACCTTTCATTTGCTCATGGGGATATTTGAATAGCAGTCTTAAAAGTTTCAATTATTATAATTAATCTCTGGACAGTTAATTTTTAAATTTTTTTCTTTTGCATTTTTGGCTTTGTAAAATGATTCATTATAAAAGTCAGTTATTAAGTGACTTTGAAGTAACTAACCCTGTGCCCTTATGAAGTAAGGGAGCAGAATGCAGTTCTGTTTTGAAGAGCTGTTTTAAGGGAACATGCATCACTTTCAGATTTAAAAACAACCATACACATATATATATATTTGCAATGTCTTCACTGAAAACTAGAGATAGAATTAGTTGAAGAGAGCCTGTTAATTGCTACATTTGTTTTTACCCACTGAGCAATATCAGTAACTAAAAATATTACATATCTTAATAATTAGCTTGCCGTTTCTGATCTTAAAAAGAGTGTTATCTTTTTAATGAAATGGATAAAGATTCCAGCCAACTCAGAAATTCAGTCCAGGTAATGAAATGTTGAAACATCAGTTTCCAAACATCTTTGCACCATTAGCTAATAATTTGAACACGAGTGCTTCAGATACTAAACATCATCCTAACGGTTTCAATGGAGCAGTTAAAAGCAATATATATAAGTAGGTAGGCATGTTAAGATTACAGTTAACATTTTGAGGACAGAATTGTATCTGTAAAAATGTCATTGGTCTTTATTACAAATGCAATATTTGATTTAGGGTATTTAAGACAGGTGTTGAGCACACACTGATTTATCCTCAGTGAGATTATGGTCTGTGACCACAAATATCCACTTAAATAAAAGCCAAATAATCAGAGAGCTGTATAAACTATAGTTGTTTTTATCATCACTTTCTGAAATTTCTCTTCTTTGGTTTTTGTCTTGTCTTATTAAAATTCCAGTGGTTTGAAACTATTTTTATTCTCTTAATATGACAAAACTGTAAAGTGATCTGCTTTATTTCGCAGCTTCCTCAACTTAATTTATTGAGAGGTTCATATTAGACATGTTAGGTAAGAGAAATCCAAGAACACATTTGAGGATGTGGAATGACTTCTTGTAAAATCTGTTTGGGAAGTAGCAAATCCTTATAATCTTCATGTTTTAAAGTGTAATGGATTATCTCTAAGGGGTTGATAGGAGAGATATTTAGACATATCCGGTTTGCAGATGGTAATTTTAATTTACTTCATGGAAATCAAGTGAATAAAAGGCAGCATAGGTCATGGTATTTTGATATTTTATTCTCATATTTAAATAAAAAGTTTACTTGAGTGGTTGAAGACATTTGCATGAAATTGCTCCTGGTGCAATAATTGATATTTATAACTCTCTCCACAACTGTTATGTTGCATTTTTTTCTTTTCTTGGCACCTCCTTTAGAAATGTCCTGAAGTCTCATCCCCCACCCCATTTCGGTTATAGAACTTTTTACATAATATTAATGTAAAGATGTTTGTGTTAATGTTTATAAATTACAATTGTAAATAAACCAATACAGTTTATGCAAAACTTTGTTCTTAATGACAGTCCCTTTTTCTTCCCTCCCCCATTTGTAAATCTTTATAGGTACCAAAAAAATTAGAAAATCAAGGGCTATTCTTTCAGTGGAATTTAAATGTTCAGATTTCAGGTTTGAAAGTACAGTAAACCCTTAATTTTGCGGAACTCAATTTAACGGACTTTGGATTTTATTTATTTACTAGAGGCCCGGTGCACGGATTCATGCACCAGTGAGGTCCCTCAACCTGGCCTGCGCCCTCTTGCAATCCGGGACCCCTCGGGGGATGTCGGACTGTCGGTTTCTGCCCGATCCCTGAAGTGGCAGGCGGCTGGGGAGGACCCCAAGCCCTGGCTGGGTGCCATGCCACTCCTGCTCATCTTGACCCCACTGCTGCTACCTGCTCAGCACTGCCGCGGAGGCGGGAGAGGCTCACACCGCCGCAGCTGCACTTGCCAGCCGTGAGCCCGGCATCTGGTACCCGTCAGCTGAACAGCTCTCCCACTGTTGAAGCACACTGACCACCAGGGAGCATCTCCTGCATTAAGCATCTGCCCCCTGGTGGTCAGTGCACATCATAGTGACCAGTTGTTTGGTCGCTTAAGCTTTTACATATAGATTTTTTTTGTTAACCCTCATCTGAGGATATTTTTCCTTTGATTTTTAGGGGGCGTGAAACAACAGAGAGAAACATTGATGTGAAAGAAACACATCGATTGGTTGCCTTCTGCATGCACCCTGATCAGGGGAGGAGCCTGCAACCAAGGTACTTGCCCTTGACGGGAATGAAACCGGGTACCCTTTGGTCCGCAGGTCAATGTTCTATCCACTGAGCCAAACTGGCTAGGGCCGGACTTCAGATTTTAATGGACAAAATTTCTGGTACATATGTCATCTGAAAATTAACTCCCTGTTAATTTTAATACATTTTTAACCAAGATTTACTTATAATTAAATTAGCAGCTTATTTTTTTTCGTTATTCGCTGTTACTTTAAAAAAATTTTAGCGAATAGGCCATATGTTGGAAAAAACATTGTAGTAATTTCTCCAACATAAATAAATATTGCATATCTACAACTAGTCTACATATTCAAATCTGAGAGTCACTGCTCATAAACAATGCTCAGGGAGTGTTAGCACATGATCACCCCTTAAGGAGCCTTAATTAGTTCTGTTGTCTGTGGTGTGGCTCCACAGCAGTTTTAACACGCATTAAGCCACGCCCCTGCAGTGTGCATTTGTTTACTCTCGGTGACTGGTGAATGCACTCATTTACTAGGCCTAATCAGTATAAATTTAAAATTACAGTAATACATATAGAAAACTTACCTGTGAGTTTAAACTTTTCATACATACATAATTACACAAACATGTCTACATAAGTAAAAACAGGTAGACTAACTTTTCAATTTTTTAGCATACACATTCGGAAAACCTTTACTAGAGGTCCAGTGCATGAATTCATGCAAGAGTGGGGTCCAGCTGGCCTGGCCCCCATTGGGGTGGATCAGAGCTGGGCCTATTGGGAGGAGACAATGGCGGGGGGTTGGCCAGCTAGCCCACCCTGATCGGGTCCCGATCAGGGCCAGGCCGGCTGGGAGGAGGGGCCTTGGGCAATTGGCCAATGGGCTCCCTCCCCCTGATTGGGGTTAGGAGGCCAATTGAGGGTGGGGCAAGCTATGGGGAGGGGCTATGGGCAGTGGGCCATCCGGCCCCACCCCCAAACGGTGTGGGGGTTGCCAATCAGGGGCCAGAGGCCTGGGGGAGGGGCTATGGGTGGTTGGCTGGCCGGTTCCACCCCTGATCAGGGTGGGGAGTGCTCAGGGGTGGGGCTGGCCAGGGGGAGGGGCTGTGGGCTGATTTGGGTGATGGGGGCCCATCAGGGGCGGGGCCAGCTGGGGGGAGGGGCTGCCAGCCTATTGTGGTGGGGCGGGCCAATCAGGGGCAGGGCTGGCCAGGGGGAAAAGCGGGGGGGCCCTTGGCCAACCAGCCCCGCCCTTGATGGGGTGGGAGAGTCCGATCAGGCCAGCTAGGGGGAGGGGTGGTGGGAGGTTGGCCAGCCCCCTGATAGGCCAGTTCACTGGCCACAGTGGGCGTCATAGCAACCGGTCATTACGGTCACTGGCTTTTTATATATATAGACTAGTAGCCTGGTGTACGAAATTCATGCACTGGGGTAGGAGGGGAAAGGGGCCCCTCAGTCTGGCCTTCACCCTCTCCAATCTGAGGCCCCTCAGGGAATGTCCAACTACCTGTTTGTGCCCACACTTTTAACAGATAACAGCTCCATTGTTGTTTCTTTCTTATGCTTAAAACCATTGGAATTAGTAGGTATTCAAAGTGTGTATACATTTTGGGGGGACACCCTGTATATCTAGTCAGTGGTGAAAGAAACCAACAGCAGATTTGGAACCCCCAGACAGGGAACCTCGCTCACTCCCCACATGTCTCCCCACTTCACTTTCCACCTTCGTGGGCAGCGGGAGAATCAATGTTTTTCTCTCATTAATTCGGAAAAGCACGTCCTGTCACCCGCTGCCCGGCAGGAGTGCTCTAGGCCCCAAGCAAACGAGGCTTAGTCAGGACAGCCTTCGCTCATGGGTGCTGGCACCCAAAGTGCACATTCCTCCTCTACAGTCGCCCCGACTATCCCACTGTTTCACTGAGAGGACGGAATTCCTCTCCGCCTCTGGGTTCTTGATCTTGAATGCTGACCGAAGGCACCTCAGCGAGGGCCGCCTGTGCCCACCAGGTGTGTCTATCTGCACCTGCTCCACCTCAGCACCTGCATTAACCCCCCAGAGGTGATCTCGTAGCTGCACTGGCCTCCTGCGGGAACAGGGTGTCACCACTCCGCCCTCTCACTGTCTTCTCACAGGCGCCCACCCTCAGCACCCAGAACACCCAGACACTCTCCAAAGGACGTGAGCGCATCAGAGGGGATGTGTGCACATCCTGTGGGGGTGTTAGGCATGCTGGGGTTGATGGAAGTGCGGTGGAGAGGCGGGGGGAACTTGTGCACGGAAGGCTGACAGTGTGCTGGGGGATGTTCGCACGACAGGGGGGGATGTGAACACCTGAGGCCTCTGGCTTTGCAGATCCACAAACCCCCGTGGTGCAATCAGGAGGACGTCAGTCTGGCCCGCCACGGTGGCTGTCCCTGCGATCCTGCACCTTCTGGGCCAGGAGGCGGGACTTGCACAGCCACTCCTGGGCGCTGATGGCCTGCAGGCGCTACTTCAGCTCAGCCTGCAGGCTCAGCTTGGCAAGTGCACAGCTGCCACCACAGCCATGTGGGGAGTACAGGCCACCCTCCACTGGCCTGCCTCCCCTGTCCAGAGGCTCTCTGCCCTGCTCACCTGCTTAGAGTGACTGGGGCTGGGCGGAAGCCAGGCATCCTGCCCTGGCCAACCCCCGCAGATCCGCCCCTGTGCAAGCTGCCACCCCGGTGGGCAGGGTCACGGATCCGGTCCCAGGACCATGGACAACCTCAAGCACAGCCCCCCGCCTGGCAGGGTCACGGATCTGGGTCCCGGGACGCGGACAGCCTCCCGCGGTGCCCCCAGCCTACCAGGACATGGATCCGGGTCCTGGGACACGGACAGCCTCAAGCGCTGCCCCCCACCTGGCAGGGTCACGGATCTGGGTCCCAGGACGCGGACAGCCTCCCATGGTGCCCCCCGCCCGGCAGGGTCACAGATCTGGGTCCCGGGACCGCGGCCAGCCTCAAGCACTGCCCCCCGCCTGGCAGGGTCACGGATCTGGGTCCCGGGACGCGGACAGCCTCCCACGGTGCCCCCAGCTTGCCAGGACATGGATCCGGGTCCTGGGACACGGACAGCCTCAAGCGCTGCCCCCCACCTGGCAGGGTCACAGATCCGGGTTCCGCGGGTCACGGGCAGCCTCAAGCCCTGCCTCTCGCCTTCAGTATGCAAATTAGCCGCCATCTTGTTGGCAGTTAATTTGCATATCACACTGACTAGCCCATGGGAAGTGTATCGGAGGTACAGTTAATTACCCTATTTGTCTATTATTAGATAGGATTATATAATGGACTTTCTGCTTTAATGAACACCCTTTCCCCCAAATTACTCCATTACATTGAGGTTTTGTTATTTCTGTTCATCTAGATGGGGACTGGGGAAGAGATAATTTAATACTAATGACATTAAATTCCATGTAGTAAATTTAACTTCAGCTTGTTATCACCACAGTTACTAGTCATAAATATTAAGTGATACAGTTCACTGATTTAGGCACTTATATAGTTCATTCTCCCTTCACTGGCTCACTGCAGAATGAATTCACTCGGAGATATTCAACTCTCAGGGACTCTCAGGATTGTAGAGGCTGCAACGTTATGAGGTATTATTTTCTGTATTTTCCAGTTGAGAAAACCAAGGTTCAAAGAAATTGAGTGAGTGAAAAGGGATAGTTATTCACCCTTAACCTATTTCCTGGGAATTGCTATTACTTCTTAAGGTATAAAATGAATTCTATACATAGATTTGATGCCACTTGTCCATAATTAATAAAACATATTTTCTAGTAGGATGATAAATTTGTACTGATATACTTAACCATTTTTACAATTGGTATGTTTCACACAGAACCTTTCACTCCTTAGCATATTCTAGCGTACTGACCTAAGCCAACCAGCCATAGATTGGCAGCTGTGTGGTGATTTTTTTTAAATTGACAGTTTGACTTGGGGGAAACCCAACTGCGTAAGTTGAATGTGATGAAAGTAATAGCTCATCTTCACCATTAACATCTTTTTGGGGGCAACGGGGATGTTTGTTTTTGTTTTTTAGTTTTATATTTCAATTACAGTTTACATTCAGTATTTTGTATTAGTTTCAGGTATATAGCACAGTGATTAGACAATCATGTTGAACTTTAAAAATATAACATCTTTATTAAAATATAGTTCACATACCATAAAATTCAACTTTTTAAAAGTCTGCAATTCAGTGGCTTTTAGTTTTTTTTACAGAGTTGTGCAACCAT